AGGATCACCATAGCTCTTTACATTTGTCTTCAAGTCAGGGCAGTATTTCAGTGTTGCCTGAGTGTGGGATTGGTTGATCTTTAAAGAGCTGGGAAACCTCACTGCCTTATGTAGAATTTCTGTAAAGCAGGGACCAGCTGTACTAGTATTTTTATTTTTATGTGGTGAAAGAGCTTAAATATGTAATCGTTTCTATCTTTTTTGTACAAATGCTGTCTCTTATACATTGCTTCACAAACCAATACAAAACTTGGAATAATTTTTCCTCAGGAAGTGTTGAACCCCGTGCAAGCTGTTACAATGAATGTTGAAAGCTTTGATGGGTACTGTTCTAGAACTGCACGGCTTTTTTCTCTTTTTTAAATCATGGTTTTCTTATTTTGTTTATTTACAAATGACTGGATGTGTTCAGGCAAGAAAATACCCCCTCCCATATTTCAAAATACAGCAGTCTATAAACAAACTTTACCATTTCCCTAAAAGACACCTTTTTTCTGTAATTTGTATAGAAAATGCAATGCTGTTCTTGTCACCCAGGATTGGTATGGAAGGAGCAGAAAAGGGAATTACCTACTGTAATGCTCAAACTCTGCATTTAAAATCTTTTTTGAAGTCAGCACAGAAGTCTCATGCTCTCTTTTCACAGTGAAACAAGAATCCCAGTTCTCTGTTAATGTGTGTGCTGTTGGTGCCCATGGACAGCGTTACATCAGAGATACCTAATTCAAATAAAACTCAGTTCCCCAGGATTGCCATGTCTTTTTAGATCTAATAACTGCTAATACGTAAGGCAAAGTAACTATCATGAAGTAAATGTGTCCACGACAGTAGCTGGACGGTGGCTCTGTGCTGATTGCTGTTGCTGCTCCTGCTTAGTCGCTCAGTTGTGTCTGACTCTCTGCGACCCCGTGGACTGTAGCCCACCAGACCCCTCTGTCCATGGAATTCTCCAGGCAAGAGTACTGGAGTAGGTTGCCATGCCTCCCTCCAGGGGATTTTTCCAACCTAGGGATTGAACCCTGGTCTCCTGCATTGCAGGCAGATTCTTTATCACTGAGCCACCGCTGCTTATTCATTTTCTCATTTAACCCTCTCAGTGGTAGGTATTATCACCACTTTATAAATGGGAAACCAAAATCTTAAAAGTGGTTGTTTGCCCAAGGCCACACAGCTCCTTGTTGGTGAGGTTGGAATTTGAACCCATGTGAGACTGTCAAATCCTGTCACATTAGGTGTATCCTAAGGGGTCTGAGACCTGAATCTTTGATCTTTGGCTTTTTTTTTTCTTTCTTCTTTTTTAAACTATTTTAAAACCTTTAAGTTGGCAGTATAAATGGAAATTTGCATTGCCTTTAGAATAGTCTCAGATTGGGGGTGGGGTGGGGGCAATAGTGAATCATGTTACCAAAATTATATAATACAGAAGGGGTGGGAGGAGGGAGGTTCTAGAGGGAGGGAATACATGTATACATATAGCTGATTCACTTTGTACAACAGAACTAACAACACTGTAAAGCAATTACACTCTAATAAAAGGATACATATACAGAGTATAACATGTGGAATCCTCTGAGTTATCATTTGTGCAGAAAGTTCTTATTTTCGGGAATTAAATTTTTTCACAGGTTAGTGATGTCAGGCTATCATGGAGGGGGTTTCCGAAGCCTCGCTGTGTTCTTTTCTGCTCCCCTGTGTATTTTCGGTGTGAAAAGTTTGTACTGGAGGTGAACAAGGCCCTGGTGTGTGTTGCTTACAAGTAAACTGGACTATAATATTACTGTTCTCTTGACCAAAATATTTCTTTCTGTTGAAGTATGATATACATATAGAAAAATTATATATCATAAGCGCATGGTTCAGTGAATTTTCAGCTTGCAGGTTTATCAGCTTGCAAGTTGAGAAATTTAACTTTAGTGACAGCTCAAAAGCAGCCATTGTGTCCCTTCCATGGAACAGACTGCAGTAGTTTTAATTCTCCTTTGCAGACCTCAGACCATTCCTTATCTTATAGTTTTCTTCCTGATTGTGGCTATAATCTTACTTTTAGTCTTTTTGCAACCAGAAGAACAAATGAAAGCCTCACTAAAACTGCTCTTCCTCCTTTCATAATCTCATCTCTTGATCAGTCTGCTTCCGTTAAACCAAAGTGTTTTGATGGCTACAAAGTCATCACTCGAGGGAATATAGGGGTTGGCATAGGACATGCAGCTGTGGGGTAACAGCTAAAAACATTCCTTGGAATTTTCAAACCAGAATGAAAGTGTGGTGGTTGAACTCAATCATCTCTTTTGTTAAGAGGTCTTGAATGAGTGAAGGGTGAGTTGCCTGTGTTTCGGGGAAGTGGTGAGAGGAGCAGTCTGCTCCTTCTCAGAACTCTTCTTGGGCTTGATCAGATCACTTGAGGAGGGTGGGAACTTCACCTAAAGCCATAGCACATTCAGCATGGTCTCTGTAGGCACAGACGCGTCTGGTCCTGGTACCCTTCTCGTCTCTGCTTTAGACTCACTTATGTCAGTTTATGCCTGTCACTGTTTCAAGCATTTAAACTTAATTTTCAGCTCTTAAATGATGCCATCCTGGGCTCTCATGGTTTGAGTGTGAAAGCTGATGTAACTGCTGGGTGGGAAGCCTTGCTCCTCACTCTAGGTGACCCTTGCTTAGCAGGGCCCATTCTCCTGCGCACTGTCTCCTGCAGGACCAGTGTTTGTTTAATTTATGGAGTATGGAGATTTAGAGGCAGTACCGTGGCTTTCTGGCAAAGTGATATTCTGGATACTAGAATGTTCCAGAGAACTAAATTTTTAGCCTCCCATATTCAAACATTACATTAAAAATAATCTAAGTGTTGGGAAGTTCCCTGGTGGTCCAGTGGTTGGGATCCTGGGCTTTCACTGCCGAGGCCGGTTCATCCCTGGTTGGGGAACTGGGATTCCACAAGCCAGGCAGCCAAAGAAACAATGATGATCTCAGCATATTAGTTCCATATTTCCCCACCTTCTTGGGTGAAGAGCGTATGAAACAACAAGTATTAATTTTGTTCTGCAGAAAACCATACTTCTAAAAGTGGTTCCAAATCTAGGGGTTTACTTGGAGTTTCTTTTGTTGTTGGGGTTGTAGGCATTTTTTCAGGGGGAAGTTTGCCTCTGTCTTAAGTGACAAGAAGAATGTACAGTTCCAAAAACTTGGTGTGTAGCACCTTTGTTGCAGGGTTTTTAGTCACAAATTAAAACTGGCCTTTTTTACCTTACTGTGTCTTTAGGTCCAAACAGGCCGTAATGCTTTATAGAATAATTACTAGACCACATTTTTCTTCCGGCCCTTCTTTTTGGTGGACACGAGAATCCTGGCCTGAAGCACCTGTGCTCGCGGACCTTCTGTGACCAGGTGGATTAGCCGTGGTGTGCAAGGCCAGGCAGACACCGATGTCATCGTGCAGGGGGCGCCTCAGGAGCCTGTCTCCGGCCATCCTCGGGGTGCGGGTGCGCGTGCGTGTCGCACTTGCCTAGCAACAGAACAACTTCTCTGTTCACAGTACAGTTTTTGAAAAAATTTTAAGGGAAAATAATGAAAAGAAAAAGGTTTTCATCTGAGTCTGATGGGATTTACCAGTAGCTGATTTTTTTTTCCAGCTGTCTATCACACGGGTTAGCCCTTGCAAGATTTGCTGCCTTGCCTTGTGCACACTTCAGCTCGGTGACTGACTCTGAGGACTGCAGGTTAGCCAGCATCACCAGTAGGCACCAGCTTTGTAAGACTCCTTGGGTGCAGCCTCCTTTCAGAAGTGAATCCACTGGGAGGCGTCTTTAGTGCAGCTTCACTATTTGTTGGTATCTGTCAGTCTCATCTGTCCTTTCCAAAATTGTATCTCACTTTGAAATGCCAGTACTACATGTACACCAAACAGTCCAGGTTGTAAATTGGCAGTGAGTCCAACATTGTTCAGCATTATGAATAAATAATTTCTAAAAGCATTTTACCAGCTTCCTTTTAGAATTTTGCCGCATGGGATAGATTTACTACCACCATACTAGTAAGCTCATCAGCATTTTCCTGTGTTTTGAAGTTGGGCTCACATTTCAGTTTCTCTTTTTAAGTTAATAGCTTTTTAAAAATGCCTTATACCCTTTGCCTTTTGTTAGAAATCTGGGATTCAGAGGGTGGATTTTATACTGTGCCTAGCTCTATTCCGGTTCTTTTAATACTCTGCAGATGACAGGATCTTGGCCTGACCTGTCCATATAAGTCCGTATTGGAGAGCACCTCCCTTCGAGTTCTGAAAATCTATGTGGTCTTCGCTAGCTCGTAACCTTGGATTGCATCACGTTTCTAGGTCTGTTTTCACTTTGTAGAGTGCAGTGGCTCAGTTGTATGGTCCCTGGGTCTTTCCCCTAATTAGGCTGGCTGGTGTGCTTCGAGCATGCTCTAACTCTGCCCTTGAGGATAAGGGAAGTAGGCCTTGCTGTGTTTCTTCATTAAAATGCGTTTTTCCCTTACAAGGTCACATGGTGGAGCTTGCAGGTGGCAGCGTGACGGTGGCTGACCCACACTTGGGGTAACCCAGAGCCAGTATGGGGAGAACCCGGGTGGGGTCTCGTGGTGGAAATGGGCTGGGAGACCCCCGGGCAGGGCCTCAGTGCTCTGTTGCCACGCGCCTCTGCAGTTAGGCCTTCCCTGTCCCTTCACTCTCTGGTCAGTGCTTGCTCTTCTCCAGAATCTCCTCGCAGAAACTCACCTTTTATTTTTCCTTTCCTTTCCTTTTCTGCTGAAGCTTCGATGCTAGATTTTTAGGAGCCTGAACCTCTCATTTCCAGAGACAACTTCTCTTTTTAAGTTGCCATAACTCAGCTTGTTGGAAATCACGTTTGGCGTCCATGTGATCATACTCCAAAAAAATACCTTTTACAAACAAACCCAAAAGGCACTGTAATCATCCCCATGGCTTCCCACCTAAGAATGAAAAGGAAATGACTGTTTTCTCTCCTTGTTTGAATTCCTTTCAGGTTTTGAATGAAGAATGTGATCAGAACTGGTACAAGGCAGAGCTCAATGGGAAAGACGGCTTCATTCCCAAGAACTACATAGAAATGAAACCACATCCGTAAGTTGGGCTCTGCTTGACCATTCAGAGTCAGACACGCCTGCTTGTTTCTAACTGTTTTTAAAATTGAGATCGTCGGGGTGGATGTCATACTTTTTATTATGTTTTCCCAGGGAATTAACAAAGCGCGTTGATTTTCCATGTTCTTATGAGTATACAACGAGAGCATAATAGTCAATAATGGTCTATGTTTTCATTGATAATTGTCAGTGATCTTCAAATGATAAAACAGGTCCATATTTATTCTTCTGTGAAACCTTTGGTGCCAGATGTGTTTTGCATTTTGCGAAAAATGCCAGATTCTGTGCTTACTGAGTTTTTAGAAAAGGTACTTGTCACATAGTTTGGTATTGATATGTTTGATTTTCCAATGGGACCATGTCTTAATAGTCTTGATACCACCAGAGCACAGTACTGGGCCTGTAATTGGTTCTCAGTCAGTGTATGCTGTAATAACTGCCCTAGCCTCCAGTTGAGTGTTCCCACTTCAGAGAAAACAACAGGCTGCTGAGAACAGTGGGGAAAAAATTTGTTTTTAGTTCCAGAACCTTTTATGTTGCTATGTGACAGGGTGGGGTCCTGGGAGCCCTTACAAGCCACTTCCCTCCCACCCTTCTCTTATCCCCTCTTATATTATCTCTGCTCCTACCTCAGACACAGTCGTTTTCTTGTATGTCAGGGAGAACTGAGGCTTTCAGTGCTCGGATTAGAATGCCGCTGAGACATAAAGAAATGGTAGATCTTACCTACTTGTTTTAACAACAGTATGGTAAAGAAAACTTTTAGATGACTGCCCCACCTCGAGTGGCAGCCCATTATGTCCCTCTCCCTCATTGTCACTGTTCTGATGTGTCCCTTGTCGCTTCTGTTCCCCCGGATACTGGAGCAAAGATCTTTACCTCCGCTTGTCTCACACAGATCTCCCATCATCTTACCCAGGTGCCACAGAGTGCAAAAGGGTCTTGACCGTGGTACAGCTCATTCTGCTCTATCCTGCAAATTGAGACGCTTCCAGTATTTCAGTTTTAAAACCACTAATTTATGAATATAATTCTCATCTTTTTAAATATTTTAGTTTATTGGAGTGTAGTTGATTTACAATATTGTGTTAGTTTTTAGATTCATTTTTCATAAAGGTTATCACAGAATATTGAGTAGAGTTCCCTGTGTCATACTGTAGGTCCTCATTGGTTCTGTCTTACATACAATAGTGTGTGTACATCCCAAGCTCCTGATGGATGAATATGGTTCTCATTATAAAAGACTAACAATGGAGAAAGCTATAGAGCAATGTGAGTTTCTCCCCATAGATGTTCCCCTGTCACCAGCAAGTGAAGGGAGTTAAGTGCTCCCTTATGAAACGGATCGGCTCTAAGATGATGCTTTGCCTTCCATCAAACAAAACAAATGACTCAGGAGCTTCCCCCAAACCATCTGTCAGGTTCATGTTTTGGTCACAAAATTCTTACGCAGTTTTCATGATGTGTAGAGACCGACCTTGGTACTGGGTAGTTAGGTTCTGTAGTTAAATTATGGTATAATAAAATGTCTGCAAAATTTGTAGGAAGTTCTTGAGAGATCACGTCCAGGAAGCCATCACCTGCAGAGTGAGGGTCGGGTTACCCTTCAGTTTGGTCATGGGAAGAAGCCTGTGAATATCTATCCTGTATGATACAGCACTGTCTGTAGTGAAGCATCTATGGGGTCTCCCAGGAAACTGCTTATACTTCAAAAAGAACCCAGCACCTTCTGATGGCTCACTGAATGTTTCATGGAATGATTTACAAGAAGAAAATCAGTCTAATTTGTAAAGGACATTTTTCTAGTTTTTGTTTGGAACTTGGACTGTCTTGTATCTTTGTAGCTATATGAGTTTGATCTCTCCCCACTTCCCCTAAAAAGATACTAGATTCCTTGAGTAATTTTTGTCTTCTGCTTTTATAATCCCTTGCAACTCATGCCTTGCTTCTGCACAGAGTAGCTAAGTAGTTTTGAATTGATACTTAGACCCAAATGCTTGTAGAAAGGCTGGGACCGATTTGTCCATGACAATAAAAGCCAAAGTACTAAATACTCAGAGGCATTCCATGGAAGAGATTCCTGGCCCGTTGTCAGTGGACTGATAATGTCCCTCATTTGAGGTCCCTGTAACGTTAGATTGGTGGGTTTTAACATGTAGCCTTGCCTGGGTTCCTAAAATGTTGATGCAGGTAGTGGTATCCAAGACACTCCAGGAGACAGGCAGGTCGTCGCTGACCCCTGGGACATGCACCAAACACACTTCTGCGCTCTGCGGCCTCTTAGGTTCCGGAGTTGCTTTGGGGACTCTGCGGGCTTCTCGTGGGCTGCATCACAGAATACACCCCTCAGGAAAGCACTTGGGCAGTGGTCGCTGGGAGTCCCGCAGGGCTTCCTACCTCTCAGTCCATACAAAAGCCAAAGATGTGCACGTCTGTTCCTGCAGTACTTCCTTCGGAGATCCAGGATCTGCTCAAGCTTTTCTGTAAAGGGCCGGATAATAAATATTTTAAGCCTTATGAGCCATATGCAGTTTCTGTCATGTCACATATTTGTCTTTGTTTGAATTTTTTTTAAATAACCCTTAAGATTTTTTAAATAGTCTCAGATTTAAAGTCATACCAAACCCAGACAGATTTAGGCCAAGGGTCATATATAAGTTTGCTGACTTCAGCGGTAGATCCAGTGATAGCAAAATCAACCTAAGTTCCCTTTCATTTTCGTATTTCCAGGCTGAAGGGGAATTCAGCAGAACATCAGGCTGTAATTTAATATTAAATAAATTGTCTGCAGCTCTAAATCCTTGTGTTGTTGTTTTTTTTTTTTTCAGATTGTTTCAGGTGACTTAGGCATTTCAGATCTGACTGTTGAAAACATAGGAAGAGGTCATCTTCCTTGGATAGCTGCGGTTACTGGCCTGATGGTTGAAAAACCACTCTCATGCCTGCTCTTGTCTCCCCACTGTAGGGAACTTCGGAATAATAATTGATCAGTAAGCATCGAGTTCAGGCCCCGTGGTGCTTCCTTCCCAGACTCTGACTGGAGGGCAGGCAGTGCTCATCCATCCAAGCTCTGAAAAAGGAAACCATAGTACAGAAGAAAAGACCACAACCCTAAACTGGGGGGTGTGGTTGACCCCTTGGGCCAGTTTGGCGACGCAGAGCTGCTCTGTGACTGGATGTCCAGCAGGGTCAGGGTTGGCTTCAGAGCTGTGGGAGAGCACGGGGCACCCTCCCTCCCCCTCCCCTCTCACCCCTCTTTTAAAGTTTTTGTTAGGGAGGAAGAGGGAAGTTTAAAATGGAGTATGACCTAATACAGCGTTTGAGCTAACAAATTAAACACAGACTGCGAAATGATTGTTGGCATCAGTGTTGCAGCATGAATTGTATATACTGGGGTGGATCCAAATATATGCTCTTCATATTAAATGCGTGTGGATGAACGCCTGTGGAAGGTAATGTAGACTTGAATTGGAAATAAGCTGCTGCTTCCCATAGTATTATAGCATAAACCTGTATTTTTTTTAAAAGCTTAAAAAATTTGACCATAGCCATATAGTTCCACATAAATAACACCTTTCATTGCGTTCATGCTCAGTCATGTCCAACTCTTTGTGACCCATGGACTGTAGCCCTGCAGGCTGCTCAGTCCATGGGATTTCCCAGGCAAGAATCCTGGAGTGGGTTGCCATTTCCTCCTCAGGGGGTCTTCCCGATCCAGGGATTGAACCCAGGTCTCCTGTGTGTGTGTCCTGCATTGGCAGGTGGATTCTTTACCACTGAGCCACCTGGAAAGCCCAAACATCACCATTGAAAGAAGTTATAAACAATGTGAAATGCTAAGGAAGTGTACATGGTATTAAATGCTTTAACTGAGAGTGACAGCTGTTTCACGTAGCATAATATCCCTTCTATTGTGAGACATCCTTTCTCTTGGTGTAGGGGTTGGGGGGTGTTTAGTGAAAATAGGATCAGACACCAAACTCGCCAACTAATTTTCTGTCTTTCAGTCTGGGTGCTTATACTAAGGTGTGTTTGTTTACTTTGTAAAAATTTCCAATCAGTACTTTGTATCACTACAGAGTTGGGTTTTTTTAAGTTGAAAAAAAAATTAGTTAATTTTAAGCTGGGAGCAAAAAAACACTGCCTCTGTATCTGTATCGCCGTGCGCCATAAGGGGAAGGTCTAAACACACACACCTACCTGCCAACAATCACTACCTCTGGGGAATTTGGGAGAAAAGTCTTGCTTTTTATTTTTATTTCACGCACATCTAAGCTATTTTAATTTAGATCCATTACTTACACCTTAAAAAAGGAAGACAGTGGAGAAGGAAATGGCAACCCACTCCAGTATTCTTGCCTGGAAAAGTCCATGGACAGAGGAGCCTGGCAGGCTGCAGTCCATGGGGTTACATGACTGAGCATGTGTGCCCGAGGGTGGAGGGAGATGGGTTGGTAGCAATAAAGTGGTAGAACTTAAACAAAAAAAAAAAAAAGGAAGACAGGAAAATGCCTGCCTGGTGGGAAGATGGCTGGCAGTCTATGAGGATAGAGAGGGACTGTTGAGGAGCTTCACTCCACCTACCCCTCAGCCCAAGGACTGCTGAGGGCGTGTGCGCTGTCCACCCGAGAGCACAGACCGAACCAGAAAGCACCTACAAGGTCACAGCACTGGGAGCTGTCCTTTCCTGGCTGGCCGTCATTCTGCTCTGTTACTGCCTGATTTCTCTGGTGTGGCCTTCCTTCCAGGCACTGGAGGACTCACCCTCAGTTCTTTGTAGGCACAGGAAGATAGGTGGTACTAGCTCCCCAGCAGCTTGGCAGTACTTTGCCTCCAATGAGGTAGACACAGGCTGCAGAGTTCAGGCCTGTTTAAAGTCACTAATGGCAGCTTCTGGATGCACCCTTCCCAGCAGCCCCCATCTTTCTCTTTGAATTTTAGCGTAGTGTATTATTTCAGATTGAAGGCAAAAGGAGAAGAGGACGGCAGAGGATGAGGTGGTTAGATAGCATCACCAACTCAATGGACATGAACTTGAGCAGACTCCCGGAGATTTCGGCAGACAGGAAAGCCTGGCGTGCTGTAGTCCATGGGGTTGCAGAGAGTCAGACGCGACTTAGCGACTGAACAGTAATGACAGTTATTTCAGAGACATCTTGCAGTGTAGTCACTTATAAGTTAGATAGATATGTTAGATTTTATAACTTTAAAGGACTCTTTGATACCTTTGTTATTCTGGTTTGCACATTTAATGCATGTCAGTCAGATGAAGCAGATAGGTCTTTATCAGCTACAACTGGTGTCAATTGTTTTTTTTAAATAGAGAACCTTGTTTTCACAGTCATCCGTCCTAAATCATCATGGCTTTCCTGTGACAAGTGAGGCGCCTGTGGCCTGAAGCTGTTTCAGAGATCTCTTCTCTTCCTTCGGGCCCGCCCCAGCTGCTCCTGCCCTTTTCCATGACTTCACCCTCTTTTCTTGTGACCCCAGTGAATCAGCACCGGGAGAGGAGACTCTTAACTTGCTCCAAATGCAACTAGCTGGCTCTGCACTGGGTAGACCATAGCATTCCTGGTGGTTCCTGAAAACCAACCTCTGAGCCGTGACGGCAGAGAGAGGCCTTGAGAGGAGCGTCTGCCACAGCTGCCCGCAGGGGCTGCTCCCTCCCAGCCCAAGCCTCTCCCCTTGGTGTGCTTAGAAGTGGCCCAGCTTCTGGGCCTCCTCTTCATCCCACTGTAGAGGCTGCTGCCTTATCAAGTGGCTGCAGGAATGTCTGTCTCACCCTAAGTGGTTCATCCTGTGCTCAAATCGATAGATCTGGGCTTTCCCCCGGTGCCTTGCTGATGAGTCAGCTGGGGGCCCACTGGGCTTTGGCTCAGGAGGCCCATCTTTAAGTGTCTTCCTCTGTAGAAAGAGTGGCCCACAATCGTGTCTTATGAGTCACTTTCTGGAGAGTGGGGAAGGGAGGAGACGGTTGAAGGGAGACTGTACCCCTCGCAAGCCAGGACGGACGTGTGCTGACAGGAGGGCTGAGAGGGAGGCCCTTCCCCCGGCGAGGAGTGTGCTGTTACGTTTGGGAGGCTGGACATCCCGTTTCTTTGTAGGGAAGCAGATGTTGACTGGCTTGCCTTCCTTCCTTAGGTGGTTTTTTGGCAAAATCCCCAGAGCCAAAGCAGAAGAAATGCTCAGCAAACAGCGGCATGACGGGGCCTTTCTTATCCGAGAGAGCGAGAGTGCTCCTGGGGATTTCTCCCTCTCCGTCAAGTAAGTATTTCCTGCTCTAACTGCCTGGAATCCTGTCTGCAGCTGATGGACATTGTGAAGCCAGGGGCCAGGTGTCTGGCTCCACACACCAAAGGTGGCAACCTAGGAGAGGTTTTGTCTAAACAGCCTGTTATAAATCTGAACACTGTATATTAAAATCCTCATTTCTGGCTCCTCTTAAAAGTTGTCTCTCACAGCACTGGATTTAAATTCCTGTGTGGAAACGATCTTCAGTTGCTGAGCAGCTGAGCATCAGAGAGGAAACACACTTGTCAGTTCTCCCCAGGCCCCACCACCCCGCAGTGCTCACCACACACCCGGCCCTGACGGCAGCTGCTCACCAGGTCAGCTGCCTCGTGCACCTTTTCCAGGTGTCCAGCTGAAGCCTGCCAGCATCAGCAAAAGGTGACCACAGGAGTTTGGGGGCTTTTTGCTTTTCCCAGGGGTAAATTTAAATGTGGAAGGGAGCTGGTATGCAGGGGAGAAAGGCAGGGAGTCATACCACCATGGGGATCATGGAGAATATAAACTGGAACTTTGAGAATTCTCAGCTAATCACTCCCCACCCGCGACATAAGGATGTGACTCCAGCTGTCCTTTCCATGTGTGTTTGACTCTCCGTTTCTAGTTCATGTTACAGGAAACCTGCCCCTGCCCCCACCCCACACCCAGGAATCATACTGACCACCTCATCATTTATATGATGCAGGGCTGATTAGATTAAAACTCAGATCACTTTAATATACATTTAAAATGAAGACTGGAAAACAATTTATTTGCCATTTACAAATGATATCAAGATTTTTCAGTTTCAGAAATCAACTCAATATCTTGTTTCATTTTAGGACCAAATGTGCGGTTAAAGTGTTGGGTTTTTTTTTTTTTTAACTGTAGGTTTAAATCGAAAGATTTTTGTGTTCCTTTTCTCTGTGAAGATGTGGGAGGTGGTTTCAGGTAACGTTTTCAGTGTTCTCAGCTACATTTCCAGTATAGTTTTGGTTTAGTTCCATCATGAGAAAATCAAGCCATCTGATTATCACTTTTCCTCTTGTAGCAATGGCTTTTCTTTTTTCTTCTTAATAGGCTTTACTTTTTTAGAGCAGAATTTATGCTCACTGCAAAATGGAGTGGAAGGTACAGAGATTTCCCGTGTGCCCCTCACTCCCACATGCACAGAACAGCGGCTTTCTGATGTGCCTGATTAAACACATGCAAATGAGGATCTGGTGGGCGAGGAGCACCTTGAGGTGGATGAGTTTTATGCTTCTCATTAACTTGCGTTTCCTCCTCTTCCTTACGTCTTACACAGACCCAGGTATAAACCCAACCGTGGAAGAGGAGGAAGCCAGGCAGCTAATCCTTGAATGGTGTCCAGAAGCCCCTGGCAGTTCACGTTTGTTGTCTGATGACCGTGGTCCCTGCCCGTGCTGTCCAGGTGGCCACCAGAAAGCTCCCATTTTATCAAATAAAACCTTTAAAGAGCTCACGTATTCCTTGCTTTAGAAGTAAAATTTGAGACAGGTGTCATAACCACCTCTTAATAACACAAGCACCAAGGACGTTCAGGACAAGCCACAGCCTCAAGTTTTCAAGGTGTTGGGCGCCTGTGGCGGAAAGCCTCCTGTTGCTAACAGCCCACCCCGTCAGGGACCCTGCACCCCTTTCAGGAGCCGAGTGCTGTGCACAGCAGTAGAGGGCTTCCCTGAGCCCAGAAGGGCCACTTAAGCATGTCTTTCCTCCGTAAAGCCGTCTTGCTCGTCCACCTTTCTTCTCGTGAACTGTCAGTGCAGTTGCTGAGCTCTTTGCACCTGTACTCAGTGACTTCCTTCAAGCTCAGTGCTGCCACCTGCTGGGTTGGTTTTAAGAAGTGTTTTTGCTTTAACTCCGATGATAGGAGGACGAGGCTCCCATTTGTTCATTTAACAGGTCTTCGTAGAGCGTCTTCGGATGCCAGTGAGGACCTTGAGAACTCAGCAGAGAGCAGGACGGGTGGGGCCTTGCTTGAGCTGATGTTCAAGGCAGAGAGCATGATGGTGGGCCATTCCCACTGAACCAGATCATGCTGTTTTTCTGAGCGTTTGTAAAGGGGGCGTTTGTCATTTCTCCAGGTGGTAGAGAAGCCTTTTGGGGGTGGGGGGGTGCCTGGGCCTTTACTTATTGTCCATATATGTCCTTTTCTTTTGAGACCTCTTCCGCATGTGTAGAACTGAAATCCCTGATTAGAAAACACAACTTTAAATTCTTCCTGGTTACAGGAGAATTGTTGGAAGTGCATCCAATCCCTCCTTTTCTCACCTTATTTCTTATCCTACCTTTTGTAGTCTTCAGATGTCACATAGGATTTCGGGTTTTTTTTTATTTGGCACAGTCCATGGATGTAGAAGCATTCTGTAGGTTGGGGCTTTTTTTTCTTAATGTCTTCAGAATTACGTTAATAGGGCTTCCTGTTGTCGCTGGCAGTCGTCATTCTGATGGAGGGTCTCAGGGCGCTCTCCACCCGCCGGGGAGTCGAGTCGTGCTGCAGTCATGGCCTCCTCAGTCTGGGAGGGCGTGGCTGAGACACGAGTTCTCCAGGGGTCCTGCTTGATGGGCAGGCGGCCCCTGGGCAGCCAGGACAGAGCCTTCCGGCCGGGTCTCACATGCATCCTCTGCCCCTCCCCAGGTTTGGAAATGATGTACAGCACTTCAAGGTGCTCCGAGATGGGGCTGGCAAGTATTTCCTCTGGGTGGTCAAGTTCAACTCTTTGAATGAGCTGGTAGATTATCACAGATCTACATCCGTCTCCAGAAACCAGCAGATATTTCTCCGGGACATAGAGCAGGTGCCGCAGGTAAGCCTCAAAGGAGAGCTTGGGATCACCCTTAGCAATGAAGAATAGCTCCTTAGGCAAGTGGGTGGTGTTTTTTTTAAAGGGTTACTTCAGGGCCTTCTGTGCTCATTATTAATTCATGTTAAAGATTTGGGTTTGAAACAAGAGTTTTGCATTTCCCAGAGGCTGCTTCTGTGAAGCAGTGTGCTGCAGAAGTTACCCTGTGTCTCTAGGATGAGGGTCTTTAACACACCCTCACACACACTTTGCCTGGAAGTAGACTGTGAGGAAAGTCACAGCTGTAAGGGGGTGGGGTCCACACTCACGGCTAAATTCCTGTGCTCACGTACTGGCTAGCACCAGCCTGTTGTGTACAAGCTTTACCCTTTCGACTTTTCCTAAGTGACACTGTGATGGGAACCGAAACATTTCCTCATCTGGGATTGTAAGCAAAGCTCCAGGAGCTGTTTCTGCAGTTCTTTGCCGAAGCAGTACCTGCTGCTGAATGCTGGAGCGAGGTTGCCCACGACAGTGGGGACCCTGCGGTGGTTTCCTTCGTTGGTGAAAGATTACTCAACACCCCCTAGAGCAAACTCCGTAAGAATTTGTGGAGGGGGGAGAAGTGAGGGGTTGTTTTAGAAGATGAGAAGAGGCTGGCCCACATTCGTTTCCCCGTCGTTGGTCCGCTTCCAGGGGCCTGGCCACGGTCAAGGGCACAATGTGTGTTTTCTCCCTGCCCTCTTCTGCAGCAGCCGACATATGTCCAAGCCCTCTTTGACTTTGACCCCCAAGAGGATGGAGAGCTGGGATTCCGTCGGGGAGACTTTATCCACGTCATGGATAACTCAGACCCCAACTGGTGGAAAGGGGCTTGCCACGGGCAGACCGGCATGTTCCCACGCAATTACGTCACCCCCGTGAACCGGAACGTCTAAGAGTCAAGAGATTATTTAAAGAAAGCGAAAATTTTAAACACACACAAAAGAATTAAACCCACGAGCTGCCTCTATCAGCAGCCTGTGAGGGAGCTCAGAACACCTGGCCGGGCCGCCTGGTGACCGGCTCACTTTGGTTGGAACTCTTGGGGGTGGGAGGGGGAGTTGGATATAACAATGCCAAAACTTACCTATAAATTAAGAAAAGAGTTTTTATTACAGATTTTCACTGCTGCTCCTGTTCTTCCTCCTCTGTCCTTTTTTCATCCTTTTTCCTCTTCTGTCCATCAGTGCATGACATTTACTGCCACATATAGTCCTAGCTGATGCCAATAATAAAAGAAAAGAAACCACGTGGGCTGATATTTTCTCTATGCAAAATGTCTGTTTTAGTCGGGAAGACAGAACAGCCGCTCCTGTTTTATATACACCCATAGGAGCAGGCGGCCGCTGCCCTTCAGCTTCTGCTGGAGGAGGGAGGGTGTGAGTGGGGGTGACAGGAGGGGTTGGTGCCCCCAAGGCTTCCTTCGAGCCAGGCCCCAAACCTGTGTCTTTTCTACATCCATTTCCCTTTCAAGTGGTGTTCCTGAGCATGCTGTTTTTCATAGTGCCTTCTGACTTATTTCGAGGGTTGCTTCTGAGTGGTGTTTTTTTTCCTTGTTTGTTTTGTTTTAAAAATAAGTTAAAGACAGTCAGCCAGTTTGTCTCCTACTCTGTGTAAATATTTCCCCCCAGGGAGGGGAGGACAGGGTAGAGAAGAGGAGACAAGGAGAGGAGGATGTGGGCGTCCTGCCTGTGGGCAGCCAGAGTCTAAGGTTCAGCTTTGACATTTGTAGCCCCTGGAGGTTCAGGGGGCCGGGGCGCAGTGGAACCAGGTTACCGCCCTCCCCATGTCTGACTGCATCTGGCTGAGTGGGGGCGGCGGGGCTGGGTCCTTGACCTTGCAGTCTGGGGTGTTATCTGTCCCCTCCTTAGTCCCAGACACCCGCAGTAACCAGTCTCTGGAGCCAACCAGTTTCAAGTGCAGGAAAGTCCAAGCAGTTTAAACTGTATCAGGTTCTACCATGTTCTACACTGGGGGAAAAGCATTTCGCTTCATCTTTCTGGCTCTGAAAGCTGGGGGTATCCGTTCATGGCTCTCACCTGTATGTCCCCTGCCTGACCCACCCGGGTGAGCTTCAGGCCGCATTCGGGAAGCAGCTGGGTGGTTTTTCATTTCTGCATTCACAGCGGGCTGTGTTCGTGGCTGCTCCACCTGGCCCCCCGAAAAGGAAGTGTCTCTGTGACACAGGGGCAGGCGGCAAGAAGGTTGGAACTAGGAAGGCCGAGTCCGTGGCAGAGCTCTGTCCGTCCACCTCCTGCCGGCTTCCTGTCCCTCGTGGTGATGCGCGTGAGCATCCTCTCCCCACCCGCCCCCTCCCCACAACAGAGGCAGATCCGCTGGGGGTTGGTGGCGCCCCTCAGCTCCTGAAGTGGTCAGTCAGCATCTCCGCTGGACTCTGGTCGTGGACCGGACTTGGCCTGGAGCGCCTGGGGCCCAGGAGGCGCTGCACTCCCGGACAGAGCATCCGCCACTCTCCACTCGCTTCTCTCCTGATAATACGAGGAATCTCTGGCATTCTGCACCTGGACCATTTGATTGTTTTATTTTGGAATTGGTGTATATCATGCAGCCTTGCAGAACTAAGTTTTGTGTGTATATATTTAAAAGAAAATCAGTGTTTAAAAAGACCTATGTACTTAATCCTTTAACTCTGCGGATAGCATTTGGTAGGTAGTGATTAACTGTGAATAATAAACATACAATGAACTCTTCACTGTATATTTTTTCTTTTTTTTAAACTCCTTTGCCTTAAAGTAAAAAACCTAGAGACTGTCAGGGGCTGGGGATGCTTGTGTTCTTATTTCCAACTCGCCTTACTCTAGGGAGCCACGTGGGTCTCGTGAGCCCTGGGAGGACCGATGCCCACGTCATGTTGGTCAGAACCCCTGGGAACAGGTTGCTAGTGTGAGTCGCGGGCCCCACCCTCAGCTCCGCCATTGAGGGTACCCGCAGGCAATGCCTGATGTTTCTGACAGAAGGCACGGGCCACACTTTAAAAACCAGTCCAGACCTAGCACTTAGGACCAAGTGTAGCCGGCCTGATTCTCGTCCTGCCCCCCACCGCCACAAAGGACAGACGGACAGAAGGAGCCGTGTGGAAGGAGTCTCGGTGGCTCAGTGGGCCTCTTCAGGGTGACCCTGGGCCTGCCGCCACCCACAGCACTGGCAACAGGAGGTGAAGCAGGACTTGTTTAGAGGGAAAACAGAACACCAAACCTGAGCAGTTTCCACTTGTGTCCTTGGAGCCCAGTACACCGCCTTGCTTGTGGCTGGCCTGCTGGGGGCCAAGGGGCTCAGGGTCCACCCAGGCTGTCTCCTCCAAAGCTGATCCAAAATGGGGCTGTTGGAGTGAAAACTTGCAGGCTCCGTGAGGTTCTTTTTGCCCCCTTGACTCATGGCTTCAGAATAGCCTCAGAATTAATAGGAAAATGACTGCTTTTGCACTAGTCCGGTCACAAGTTTCTTGGTGGCTGTGTCCCCCTCCTCCGACCCTGGGTCTGTCATTCCTGGGCGGGGAGTGCCTCTGGGGAGACTCCGCCGTGGGACAGCTCAGCTGGCTTTGACAACCGAAAGCTCTGCTGGATGAGTGGGCTCCGCCCCGTTCTCTTCTGAGCAGCCCTCCTGACACTTCTTGCCCAGTGCCCTGTTCTTCTAACAGGAGCTCAGTTTATACTTGACTGTAGAGGGGGTGGCAGTGAGAGCACCTGCCTGGCCCTCCCAGGCAGCCTGCAGCTCGAGGGGGCAGGTTGGAAGGAGAAAGGGCATGGACTTGTGTCTGCCTTTCCTCAACACTGATCCCTCTGAAAGCTGACCTTCAAGTAGGACGTCTTGCTTTCCCAAACAAGCGAACCAGCGAACCTGAATTGACAGGCAAATTCTCCAGGTTCCTTCTAAGCCCTGTTTTCACAGAATAGCACAGAGAGTTTACTTGTGTTCCTTTGGGGGCTTCTTAGACTAGGGCTGGGGAGTTACAGACCCCTCTCTCCACCCAAATCCCCAGATGGGGCCCGATGAAGCAGGGCTCTAAAAAGAGCTGGAAGGGGGCAGCTCCGGAAGGTTGGGGTTTGGGGATTTTTGTGTTTCCAAGGATAGCTTTCCCGAGATTCAGTTCACTATGTGGAAGTCATCTATTTATTTATTTGGTCATGCCATGCGGATTGTGGGGTCTTAGTTCCCAGACCAGGGATCCAGCCCATGCCCCCTGACGTGGAAGGTTGGAGTCCTAACCAGTGGACTGCTGGGGAAGTTCCACAAGTTACCCACTTAATGTAGACCATTCGGGGGCTTCCAATGCAGGGGCTGGGGGTTTGGTCCCCAGTGGGGGAACTGACATCCCACATGGTGCAGGATGTGGCCAAAAATTAAAACGGGGTGGGGGCAGGGAACCCTTCAATAAAGTAGACCATTCAACAGTGTTCAGTAGTATTCACAGATGATGCAATCAACTTTAGAGCTTTTTCATTATCCCCCAAAGAAACCATGTATCTATCATCTGTTGCTTGCCATTTCCTCCCAATCCCTCCCAGGCCCTGGCAACCGCTAATCAGCCTTCTGTCTCTATGGATTTACCTATTGTAGACATTTTATGTAAGTGACATCATATAATATCTGGTCTTTTGTGGCGGGCTTCTTTCACTCAGCGTCATGTTTCCAGGGCTCATCCCTGGGGTGACATGTATCAGGAAGTCATTCCTTACAGCCATTAACACACTCTGGTGTGGAGACACCACGTCTTTTTTATCCATTCTTACAGCGATGGGTGGCTTCTTACCGGGCTCAGTGGTAAAGAATTCACCTGCTGTACAGGAGAGGAGGGTCTGATCCCTGGGTCGGGAAGATCCCCTGGAAAAGGGAATGCCGACCCACTCCAGTATTCTTGCCAGGGAAATCCCATGGACAGAGAAGCCTGGCGGGGCTCCAGTCCATGGGGTCGCAAAGAGTGGAACACAGCTTAGCGAGTAAACAGCAACAATGACGGGCGTACGGGCTGTGTCCGCTGTTGAGCTGTCCTGGACGATGCTGCTGTGAACATCCACGTGTCACGGCGGACGAGGACAAGCCCTGAAGGACTTGAGGCAGGGGCGCAGACAGGCCTTCTGGGCTGGAACAGTGAAGGACGGGGACCACGGAGGAGACCCCTTGGTGAGCAGTGGTCCTGGTGAGCGGGAGGGGCCGTGGGGAGCCAACAGCAGCTGGTTGGTCTGAGCCACATGTGGGTGGACGGGTTGAGGGGTCAAGGAAGAGGAGAGGTAGGGGTGACCATGGGGATCCTTCTTGAGCAGCAGGGGCTGAGGTTGCTGTCGCTTGAGACGGAGCAGGGGTGCGATGGGGAGGCCGGGTAGACAGTTGCGTGTGAGGTGCCTGTGGCCAGAAGTCTGGAGCAGAGAAAGCATTCCCTTCTCGTTTGGGAGATGGATCAGGGTCAGAGGTGTGGAGGTGGCCCTAGAGTCCCCGCCCTGGGCGAGACCACACCTGCTCTCCAAGAAAGCCAAGCCCTGAGGCCTGGATGAGGAAGCAGCAAAGGAGAGGAGGCGGTGGCCGGAGAGGCAGGAGGCAGACCGGCCTGCATCCAGGAGCTGGCCCCTGGGGCCATCCGCCCCCAGGCCCCCTGACCCCCATCCTGTCTCTTTCCCAGCCCATCCCGATGGTCCCCAGACTGCCCAGCATGCCTTTTCCCTTCTGCCGAAAGACCTTCCCCCGTTGCCAGGTTGCTGAGAGGACAAAGTGCAGCCTCCTGACCCACCCGTGTGCTGAGAGGTCAGAGTGAGCTCGGAGTTACAAGACCCAGGGCTTTGTTCCAGGCTGCGTGGCCTTGGGCAGTCTTTCACCTCGGATCCCTTGATTCATCTGCTTAGAAACAAGCCCTGTCACCAGGCTGCCCCGAGGGGTTGCATCT